TACAGTTGAAGCTTTCTAAATGGAAAGACTGAACTGATCTGTATACAGTATGGCAAAATGCTTAATTAGTTATGAATATCCAAACAACCAATTTTTTCACTTATCTTTTATATATGTTTTGGTATCTTGAAAACAAAGCCATACTCCTAAAAGATGAGAATCTGAACCAAAGTAAGTTTGGCACAAACAGTGAAACTTATCTACAATCAGATTAACTGCTAATGAATTAGAAAAATTTACTGTATAAGAATTTTTATAGTACTTATTAAATCAGATTTTTATTATTTATAATTCTTAGAAAAAGTATTAGAGATAGAAATAAATCTTTAAGATGGTTTTACATTAAAATATTCCTTCCTGTGAGATGTTTTCCTATTTTAAAGAAATAAGGAATCATTCAAACCTTAAAGAATTTTCCTAAAGCCAGATAATCCAATCCATCAGAACAATTGAAAACAACACATTGTTTTGCTACAGCCTTTGCTAAATCTTTGGTGGTTTCTGTCTTCCCAGTACCAGCTGGACCTTCAGGAGCTCCTCCAAGATGAAGGTGAAGGGCTCCAAATAAAGTTCTGAAATTAATAAAATAAATAATGTTTGTATAAATATTGGTTTCTTTTCTCATACATATACAAACAGACTAATTTTAAATTGTTTCTAAGTCTGAGGTTATATTCCAAAGTTTGCTTTATCTCCAAGGAAATATCATTTTAAATATTATTTTAAAATGTATTTCTCTTTTTTTCATTTCATTTCCCCAACAGCTTCATTTACAAAGAATCCACAACGCTGCTTTTCAAGCCAGATTTGTATTCCCCACTTTTGCCTTTATCACCAATTAATCAAAAAGTACTAATTAAGTATATAATTGTGCCCCACCAGGTGTCAAGAAGTAGAAGACACAGTACCTGACTCCAAGGAGCTTATAATCTTGTCAGGAATATAAGACTAATGCAATTAATTGTGCAACTAATTGTATAAAGACAGCATAATGAGCATAGTGATCTAATTCAACTTTATAGGAGTCTACATTTCCCAAGGACACTAGTGAAGCGGCATTGTGGTGCCATATTCTCCTTAATAAACAATTCCCCAAATAAACAAAAGTAGTTCACCAAATAAGAGTACTGGATTTGAAAAATTTAAACTTTTTTTTCTACTAAACATTCAGAAAATGGAATATATGTATAAGCAGGCTTTCTTACTATCACTAGTACAAAAGGAAAAATAAACAATGTAACATTTTGATTAAGTTCCCTTATGATGTAGTCATCCAAAATTTCTAAATTTATTTTATATATATACATATATATAAAAGAATGACAATAAAATATTACTGTTATTATCATTTATTTCACAAGCCTTTATTAAGTACCTACCAGGTGCCAGGTACTGTACTAGGCAATCAAGATACAAAAACAAAAATGAAACTATCCTGCTATCAAGGAATTTATGTTCTATCAGGGCAAAACAACATGAACAAAGATAAGAAAAGAAAAAATATACACATAGTAATTTCCAGTGAGCCAGAACACTGGCAACTGCAGGGATCATAATAGGGCTTCTATAGGAGGATCCTTAAATTTAGTTAAGGTTTCTCTGAGGTAGAGGTGAGATAAAAACACATTCCAGGAATCAGGCGCAGCCTGTGCAAAGGTAGAGAGATGTAAAATGGAATGTCATGTACAGGAAACAGCAACTAAGCTGGTTGGCGTGGAAGGGAGAGTGCAGAGTTAAGTGTAATGAGGCTGATAAGTAAGCTGGACCCAAAATATGAAGGCTTTCAGTCCAAACAGAAGATTTTGCATTTTCTTCTAGAAGCAAGAGCCACTAGGACTTCAGTAGCAGGGATGGACAGAGCAAAACCTATATTATAGGCTTATCAACTTAATTTTTTACTGAACATCTCAGTCCAAATTTGGTCCAGGGCATCATCATAGCTTTGCTCAGATACCTACACTGAGAAGAATCCATTCGTCCCCAAAGCAGCCCATCCCCCTTTAGAATAACTTTAACCATGAAGATAATTTTCTTTACTTCAAGTCTAAATTTGCCTCTTTACATCCATTCTTCCTACTTTTTTTTTTTCAGTCAAAGACAAGGTTTATTAGAATATCCATCATATTGGGCAGACTATTAAGAAGTCTGAATATTAGTGAGCTATTGGCTAGATTATAAGAATCTGAGCACCTTAAATGGAGCCAAGATGGATCTTATATACAGAAAGACTGTGGGAGGGACCCAGGAGTGGCCAAGTAGTTTGGGGTGACTGGAGGAGGGGTCTAAGGAAGACCTGAATGGGGGTGGCCAGTAAGGTGGGGTGAATAGAACGCCAAGGGAGAATGGAACCTAGCTAGGATTAAGGGTGGGAAATGGCCAGGGGTCATAGGGAGGTAAAACAATGGAGG